AAGGCGAAGAGCGCGGAGTGCCTCGTCACGGGCGTCACGCTCTCTAGCGACCATTGCGAGTAGTTTGCGATGGCCGACGGCATCGCCTGGCCCGCCCTGTCCGCACGCACGCCCTCCGGGAAGCCAGCCTTGCGGAGCAGCGTGGAGAGCTCAGAGCGGAGGGCCGGCTTGACAGCCGCCTGCTCCGCGAGGCCGTGGAGCGCAGTGTTCCACTTTGAGACCGAGATGGCGTGCTGCCTCGCCCGTGCCGCGCGCAGGCTCGCGAGCCGCTCCGAGGTGCCGGCGCCCTCGAGAGGAGGCCGCTTGCCGGTCGCTCGCTCGACGACCTTGGCGCTGGCGTCGAGGGTGCGAATGCGCGTGAAGACGTTGTTCGGGTCGAGGCGCCGCGCGCCGCGCTCCAGGATGATGGCGTTCGGCGCCTCGTTGCAATAGCCGAGGCATCCCGACTGCCGGACTTTGCAGCGTCCGCCGACCTCGCTGACAAGCTCCTCAATCTCTGCGAGCACCGCCTCGGCGCCGCGTGCCCGGCACGTACCAGCGTGGCACACGTGGATCTCCGCCATGGAAGGCGAGGGAGCAGCGACAGCGACCGAACGGCGACAACTGAGTCCGAACTGCGCGAGCCGACGTCCTGCCCGCCAAAAAGAATTCACGGTGGGCTCACAGCACACTGGCACGACAAGGGCGCGGACTGGCGCGGACTGGCACACACACCGGCTCACCACCGGAGCCGAAAAGAATTTAAGCGGACACACACACACACACACACACACACACACACACACACACACACACACACACACACACACACACACACACACACACACACACACACACACACACACACACACACACACACACACACACACACACACACACACACACACACACACACACACACACACACACACACACTGCCAACCCCCCTCGCACGACACTCAGTCGCGCTCCCAATCGTGCATCACTTTTGTGACGGTGTTACAACTTTGATAAACCATATCTCGATAACTACCATGTCGCCGCCATGAAAGTAGGCGCAAATCGATCGACCGAAGATCGGGCGCCGGGCGCCCAGTTGATGCACGTATTGGGAGCGCGACTGCACTGGGCACGGGACTGGCGCGCACTACTGGCACTAACACAGGTACACCAAAAGAACTGGCCCGCTCCTCCGCGCGGCGCGATCAAACCTCACCAGAGACCGACTCGCGGCTTCGTGGCGTCGCCTTAACCGGCAACGAGCCGCCGCGCGGAGTTGCCGCCTCCGCCTCCATCCGAGGCCCCTCCGCTTTGGGGAGGCGGAGTTCGAAGGCCGGTGGTGCCGGTGACG